CTTCTGTCATCATCAAAAGTCATCAAACCTTATGGGCCAAGCTTCACTAAGAAATTGTTTGACTAACTATGAAATGCATCACATATGGCGCTATTCACCCTTTACTGCCCTGCCATCTTCCGAAAACAGGCCAGTTTGTGACCGATTTTTTCTGCGTTGGCAGAATTGGCTGAAAATTTGTCTCCTGGGGTAGTTTGACCTCCTGAACATGAATATTACATGCGCTAAACACGAAACTTCCTGGCGCCTGTGCCGCAATCGCCGACGCCAAAACACCTTGAATCACCAATCGCTAAAAACTCGTTCTCAGGGGTACTCTGATCTCTTGAACACGAATATCATATACGCTCACCCTGAAACCTCCTGGCTCCCACTCTACAGGCGCTGGCGCCAAAATACCAAATATCACCGGCGCCTGCATGGCCGGCGGGCGCTCGGTTTCGGGTATGCGAATTACTCATATTCGCATTCAGGAGATTAAAATACCCTAGGAGACGAGTTCCCAGCCAATGCTGTCAACGCAGAAAAAAGTCGATCAGAAACTGGCTCAATTGTGGATGGTTAGGGCAGTAAAGCGTAATTAATGCCTCATATACTTATTAGCTTTGATTTTTACAAGGTTTTCATTATTCATACACCTTCTGTCTTTCTTTTAACATCGAATTTGCAGAGCAAGTGCCATTTTTTTTCTCTCATAACATCCTGCTTCGTAGTGCGGACCGTCGCGAAAGTCTTGTCGGAGTAGTGTTCGGATGCGCCCGACGTCGGGGAGTTCCATTCGATTCTTCAAACAAGTTTGAGTATACAAAATCTTTTCCCGGCACATTGTATTCAGCGCTCTTTCGTGTCGAGCGGATGTGACACTCGTTCAGAACCAGTCTATCCCAGAGCACATGTTTTTCGGGCGTGTTATTGATTGTGATGGTCCAAAGGCAATTCTAGGTTGAAGCGATGATGGGAAATTTCTGTGTTTAGGAGAGTCCACAACGCCAAGCTTTTCAGCGGATTCGGCGATCCTCGGCATATTGTAGGGCGTCAGGAGTTCAGGTGAGCGGATGTGATATCCTGTTAGGAGGCCAAACTATCCAAGGGCACAAGTTTTTCGGCGGGTTTGGTGATTCTAGGTATCCTGACGCCAGCACCCTGGCGCGGGCGCTTGGCAACTCAACGCAAATTAATGTGATTCCCGTATTCAGAAGGTTAAACTTCCCTAGAACCGAGTTTTCAGCCAAATCTGCCCCCATAGAAATAGCCGGTCAAAAACTGGTTTATTTCTCGAAAAATCGGTGCAGCAATAGTTTAATAATAATAATAACTATAGTGACAGTATAATAACATGCTTAAACTCATTAACTTCTAAAACATTGTCCTTAAACGGAATACATTAATTTGGTTGAGTTGCCAAGCGCCCCGCCAGAGGTGCTGGGTCAGGATACCTAGAATAACAGAACCGCCGAAAGCTGTGCCCTTGGGTAGTTTGGCCTCCTAACAGGAGTATCACATCCGCTCGACCTGGAACTGCCTGACGCCCTAGCAATGATGCCCAGGATCGCCGAATCCGCTGAAAGCCTCGGGGTTGTTGGACCTCCTAAACACGAATTTCACATCGCTCAACCTAGAATTGCCTGGATACCCACGATCATCAAACCCGCCGAAAACTTGTGCTCTGGGATAGACTGGCTTCCTAAACACGAGTGTCACATCCGCTCGACACGAAAGAGCGCTGAATACAATGTGCCGGGAAAAGATTTTGTATACTCAAACTTGTTTGAAGAATCGAATGGAACTCCCCGACGTCGGGCGCATCCGAACACTACTCCGACAAGACTTTCGCGACGGTCCGCACTACGAAGCAGGATGTTATGAGAGAAAAAAATGGCACTTGCTCTGCAAATTCGATGTTAAAAGAAGTAAAAGGTGTATGAATAATGAAAACCTTGTAAAAATCAAAGCTAATAAGTATATGAGGCATTAATTACGCTTTACTGCCCTAACCATCCACAATTGAGCCAGTTTCTGATCGACTTTTTTCTGCGTTGGCAGCATTGGCTGGGAACTCGTCTCCTAGGGTATTTTGATCTCCTGAATGCGAATATGACATTCGCATACCCCGAAACCTAACGCCCGCGCCACAGGCGCCGGTGATATTTGGTATTTTGGCGCCAGCGCCTGTAGAGTGGGAGCCAGGAGGTTTCAGGGTGAGCGTATATGATATTCGTGTTCAAGAGATCAGAGTACCCCTGAGAACGAGTTTTTAGCGATTGGTGATTCAAGGTGTTTTGGCGTCGGCGATTGCGGCACAGGCGCCAGGAAGTTTCGTGTTTAGCGCATGTAATATTCATGTTCAGGAGGTCAAACTACCCCAGGAGACAAATTTTCAGCCAATTCTGCCAACGCAGAAAAAATCGGTCACAAACTGGCCTGTTTTCGGAAGATTGGCAGGGCAGTAAAGGGTGAATAGTGCCATATGTGATGCATTTCATAGTTAGTCAAACAATTTCTTAGTGAAGCTTGGCCCATAAGGTTTGATGACTTTTGATGATGACAGAAGCGTGGCATTCATTTGCGCAATCGGCACCATTTAGCGCTCTTTTAACGCCAGTGCCATTTATCGCTCTGATAAGGCTGTGCATGGGAGAGGAAGCAATCCCCTTTGGGGGAGGCAGCCCCAGGAGAAGACAAACGTAGTGTTCTCCATTCGCACAAACGTCAAGAATGGGGGTCACATCCGTAACCAGGATGCCTAAATCCCGTATACAAAATTTCAGCTGATTCGGTGTTCTTGGTATTTTTGCGCAGGCACGAGGCAGCTCTAGGTTGAGCGGATGTGATATTCGTGTTTAGGAGCTCGAAAAACCCCGGCGCACAAACTTTCGGCGGATTCGGCGATCCTGGGCATCATTGCTAGGGCGCCAGGCAGTTCTCGGTCGAGCGGATGTGATACTCCTGTTAGGAGGCCAAACTACCCAAGGGCACAAGCTTTCGGCGGGTTTGGTGATTCTAGGTATCCTGACGCCAGCACCCTGGCGCGGGCGCTTGGCAACTCAACGCAAATTAATGTGATTCCCGTATTCAGAAGGTTAAACTTCCCTAGAACCGAGTTTTCAGCCAAATCTGCCCCCATAGAAATAGCCGGTCAAAAACTGGTTTATTTCTCGAAAAATCGGTGCAGCAATAGTTAATAATAATAATAATATAATATAATATATATAATAATAATAAAACTAGTGACAGTTATATAACATGCTGAACTCACTATTCTAAAAACATTGTCTTACAACAAGTTTTGCACAGAAGTAATGAGTCTGGCGTGTAATGTAGTGTGATCGTGCACCCGACATCAATGTTTTTCACTGGACGCGCAAATTTCGGGGGTACGGTACGCCGCCTGACAACCTGAACTTATAATCTTGTGAGTTCGTTAGGGGTTTCACACCACGCATCAGCTGCTAAAGCGGATAAACACGATCCCTAGCCGAGGGACCACATTCACGCTTTCCTACTGGCGAGCGGTACGCTATCCTACTATATATAACCGGCAACGTCGGTTCTAAACGTTCTGTCTGTGTGTGCGTGTTTGTCCAGAAATTCGGCATCACCTGACGAGCCAGTTTGAGGGTCAATGGTGGTTTGGGTAGGGCATGGACCAACAGTACAACATACACACAAACTGAGCTAGGCCCCGCCTCATTGTGGGCGGGGCATGCGCACAGCTTGTGTGTATGTGGGCGGGGCATGCGCACAGCTAGTAGTTACTTAGGCACTATTTACCCTTTCACTGCCCCAACCATCCAGAATTGAGCCAGTTTCTGACCGACTTTGTTCTCCTTGGACAGATTTGGTTCAAACGTTGTTTCCTAGTGTGTTTGACCTCCTGAATACGAATATGACATTCGCTTAGCCCGAAACCTCTTGGCGCCTGCGCCACACGCGCCGGTGATCTGGGGTATTTTGGCGCCAGCACCTGTAGCGCGGGCGGCAGGAGGTTTCAGGCCGAGCGGATGTGATATTCGTGTTCAGGAGGTCAGACTACCCCTGAGAACAAGTTTTCAGCGAATTTGGTAATTTAAGGTATTTTGGCGCCGGCGCCTGTGGCGCGGGCGCCAGGAGGTTTCGTGCCTAGCGGATGCTATCATGTTCAGGAGGTCAAACTACCCCAGGGTACAAATTTTCAGCCAATTCTGCCAAGGCAGAAAAAGTCGGTCAAAAACTGGCCTGTTTTTGGAAGATTGGGGCAACAAAGGGTAAATAGTGCCGTTACTTATTTCAAAAATTCGTAAGTTGTTTCCAGAGTAGCCCGGAGAGCGGAAAAGTGGGAAACGATATGCAAACAATTAGCGGACGAAATGAAGGATACACGACCATATTGGACAGGGCGTACTATAGGTGGGCGGAACTTGCTACAGAAATTTAAAAAATTTGTATTCGCTTCCAAAAGAGCCGGGAGAGCGGAAAATGTGGGGAACGACAGCAAATGAGTAGGAGCATGAAACACGATCACAATGGGCGGTAGCACTGCAAATGAGCGGTGCGAGCGAATGAACAGGCGGACGAGATGAGGGAGGCACACCTACTGCAAACGGGGCTCGAATCAAAATCTCGTAATTCAATTCCAAGTAAGCTCGGACAGCGGGAAAAATGGGCAACGAGAGGAAAGTGGTTTTCGGACAGGAAGCGTATGTAACTTCAGTGGACGGGGTTTTAAGGTACTACCTCTTCTGTAAATGAGTAAACTCCCTCTCTCTTTGGAAAAGAGGAGTTCACTCATTTTTGTGTGGGAGAAGACATACTCCACACGCAGAAGGAAGATCGGCCGGCGAAGCCGGCCGATACGACTGGTAGTTGTCGATCAGCGATGGTTCTAGACGTCAAGGTCGAGTCATTCCCTCACTGATTAAACCACATCCTAATAGTGAATCGTCACTCATCCTACATCAGGTTAACACAAAACGTGCCCCCTCTGGTGATGCGCTCAGTCCTAACCACTTTTTAGGCGGACTTTACTTGCTCAATGCTCTAGCAGAACTAATGGCGAGTCCCCTGTGCGCAAAGCTTACCTCATTATCTTCTTCTAGCACTAATATCCAACCTTTTATAACGGAAACCGACGTGTACAATATGGGATTAATTGTGTCTATAGCCTGGAAATATCAATAAAATCTACAATTCTGAAAAAGATTCAAAGACGGGATCTTTACCTTTGACATATGGCGAGGCCAGTTGGCACACAGGATTGCACCCAGAAACGCTGGAATATTACCGATCCCACTCGGTCCGTCCATGACGAATGCCGTGCACAACGTCATAAGCTCAGAGCACATAACTTCACAAAATACGTCGTATTCTGAAAAAACGCTCTGCTTAAGAGCGAGTTCATAAAAAACGCGAAACCGCGAAACCAGTAACTGCGACTGACGACGGCGCTGCTCAAAAAATGATCAATATTTAGCGTCCTATCTTTTGCCTTTTTACTTTTACTTAATCAAGAACACTTGGAAGAAACTAACCCATTAATGGAATGAAGAGGTCAACAACAAATTCAGTCTCTCCATCTGTCAATGCTGTTCCAACAAGACTTTTACACATTTCATTCCAATCATCTTCGTTCATCTGACTCAAAAACCCGCATGCTGATATATTCCTCTCTGAAAATATTGGGGCTGAATACATCAAAGATCACCCACTATATTTAATTTGCTTCGTCTGTTTCTTTGTTTGTCCGGAAATTCGGCTCCTGAAGAACAACTTGGAGAGGTCGGGTCAAGGTGGGGATGGGTAGGGCATGGGACAAGATGTAAAGAGCACACATGACCTATGCGAAGCCCCGCCCACAGTGGGCGGGGCATGCGCCGAAAGTTGGCGGTGCCGCAGAAAAAACTCATATCGCTTCCAGAGCAGCCCAGAGATGGGAAAAAGTGGAATAAGGTTAGCAAGGGGTTGTCAGACTAATTAGTGGAGACATACCCGAAATGGGAGGGCGTACTTGAGATAGGCGGTGCTTCTCACAAAATACATTCTCGGTTCTCGAAAGAGTTTAGACTTTGCAAAAAAATCGATGTAGGAGGGCAACACCTGGGGAGAGTTTGGCATGCCTGAGGTGTGTTGAGACCCGCCACAGTGGCGGAACTTGCTCTCAATCATGGGGTGCACATTTCAAAAATCTGTAGCTTGGTTTCAGAGCACTCCAAAGGCCCGAAAAAGTGGATTAAAGCCAGCAAAGAGTAGCCAGTGAGGAATGCGGGACACACACTTTGTGGGCGGGCGACTGGTCCGAGTTTGGCGGAGACAGACAAAGACCGTGTCAGCGGTTCCAGAGCTTTCAAGAAAGAGGAAATAAAAGTAGATCAAGGTCAGCAAATGGTCGCCGGTTAAAAGTTGTGGGACACACGTTGTGCGCAGAACCTGCACCGATGCGGGCGGAGACAGAGGTCTGTAATCGGTTCCAGAGCACTCCACACACTGCTTAAAAGTGATAGTGGTCAGGACATGTTCCCGGTCGATGCGCGATACATCCGTTGTAGGCGGAGCGTGCGGCGAGGAGACTTTACGAGCTGGTTCGGACAGCTCGTAAAGTGAGGCTGCCAGGAAGCGCCTCTCCATGATCACGCGTTTGATTTTTTTCTCCCCTGGAGAGTCACTTGGCGACTATAGGTTTGTATTAGGTTGGCGAGAAAGTTGTCACATTTTTAAAACGAATATTTATTACTCTACAGAAATAGATAAGATCAAATTTATTCACCGTTCTGTGCGACTACTTCTTGCCAGCGTCCAGGCAGCTTATGGATATTATCCCTCAAGAACTCAGCTTCGCGCGAGGCAAAACACGATGTCAACTCGACTTCGATCTGAGCACGGGTTTTGAACTTCTTTTCATCCAGGTAACGGGTTAGGTCTGAGAGTAACCTAATAATCATAAGGAGCAAGGTCTGGGCTGTACGGGGATGAGGGAGAACTGTCCAGCCATATTGCACCAGCTCCGATTTGACACTTCCTGCTGTGCGGTCTGGCTTGTCATGTTGGTAGACTTCGTAGAAACAATCCAAGAAGAAGATTTTATTTCACGATCCCCTATTTTGATAAGTTCTGATGAAAAGGACTTAGGATTTACTGTTAACCGCAAGCTCAGCTTCGACTCCCATTGCCTTAAAATTGCTGCTAAAGCGGAGCAAAGACTATTTCTGTTGCTGAAGGCGCTTAGTAGTAAAGATCCCTCCGTTTTGATCAAGGCTTATAAGATGTATGTCAGACCTATTCTCGAATATGGGACAAGTATTTTCTTTCCATACAAGAAAAATCATCCAGGCTATTGAACGTGTGCAAAATAGTTTCACTAGGAAAGTTTTTATAAGAGCGTTAGGGTACACTTACAACAGTATCCCACGGGCCATTATTCGAAATAAAATGCTTAATCTGGATTCTCTTTCTAAACGGAGGTTAAAGAACGACCTGATCACCGTCTTCAAAATCGTCCATGGGTCAATGGCATTTGCAGCCAATAAGTTATTTTCTTTTTCTGTTTCATCTACTAGAGGTGAACCTAGCAAAATCTGCCTCAACATCGCCAGGTCTTCGCTTCGTAGCCACTTCTTCACTCAGCGTGCTGGTTCTGAGTACTCTAAGTTATGCAAGAGCATTCGTTTCCCTATAAAGCTCTCCGGTTCAAACAAGAAACTCGCGTTTCCTACAAGGAAGTTTCAGCTAGGTTGCTCACGACTATCGACTGGTTCCATTCTCCTTTTCTTCTTGTCACTTTTTGTGTTGTTATTCGAAGTTTTATCTACCTCACGATACACTGCCTCTCCCTTTAATTGCTATTATTACTACTTTTTTAAACATTCAATTCGATTGTTTGATTTGTTATGTTTTGGTTCTGATGTTTCACGTTGGTTCAACATGCTCCCAGCGGGCATGTAATAAATAATAAACTACTTCTTGCCAGCGTCCAGGCAGCTTATGGATATTATCCCTCAAGAACTCAGCTTCGCGCGAGGCAAAACACGATGTCAACTCGACTTCGATCTGAGCACGGGTTTTGAACTTCTTTTCATCCAGGTAACGGGTTAGGTCTGAGAGTAACTAATAATCATAAGGAGCAAGGTCTGGGGCTGTACGGTGGATGAGGGAAACTGTTCCAAGCCATATATGCACAGCTCGTTTTGACGCTCTCCTGCAGCCGTGTGCGGTCGGCTATTGATCATGTTGCGTGCGTAGACTTTTCGGACATATTCTCCCCGTAAATCCACGATTCGCTTCAGATTTCTCAGCTGCTGCGTGAAGAGATCAGCAGTGATGGCGATCCCTCTCATCCAGTAGTTGCCAATGTACGGGCCCCTGTACATCCCACCATACGGACAACAAAACCTTTTTCGGGTGAATCATCTTCGGGGTCTCCTTCGGCTCTTCTCCTGTCGAACCCGCTGTGCTTTCCTGTCGAAGTTGTCGTAGTAGATCCACTTCTCATCCCTAGTGATGAGATGCCCAGCCACTTGTACCCTTTATGCAGCAGTGTCAAACAAGCATCCACCCGGCGATCAAGGTCGCCAGGCTTGAGGCGGGTGGCACAATCGACCCAGTTTTTTAGTTATTCCCAGCTTCTGCAATCCAGCTTTCACAGTGGAATGGTGAGCTCTAAGAGTACTCGCCATATCCCTTGTGGATTGGAAGGGTCCGATTTCAGCACACGCCGTAGCTGCCTCATGTCCGAGTTCTGATGGGCGTCCTGACCTGTCTTCGTCTTCAAGGCTGTAAACCCCGGCCGTGAAGCGCTGGTACCACCGCAAGATCGTCTGGTAACTGGCGGCATGCTCCTTATACACATCCCTTAGTTGGCTTCGGTAGCTCTCGGGTTCGATCCGGAGTGGAAGAAAAAAAGTATGAGGTGGCGCAGGTGCTCACGGTCGGACCAAACTCGTTTCTCCATTCTGTAAACGGGGAAGTAAAACTGAAGCGGGCATCACTATTAGAAGGAGCATCACCTTGGCTATTACTACTGATATTATCGATCAGACGCTATCGGCTAACAAGGGAGGTCGTTCAGGCCGTGGTGAGCTTTTTCAAAACGATTTGTTGCATGTTGTAGGGGTCCATACAAGGACCACACAGATGGGTTTCATTTTTGCTAAACGCTATTTTGAATGTCAAAAAAGGAATAAAAACAAATCGCTTAAAATACGCAAGTTTCATCATCTCATTCGCATCTGTTTCAGCTGTAAAGCAGAATACATAGAGTTTATAAAGTGTTTCTCAACTAGACATGAAAAAGAACATCGAATAGGTCGAAATACAAGTGCCTTACTGGCATACAGTGAGTAACCTGCGATTTCCTAGGCCTTATGCAGCATCCCTTCCCCTCGCCAGTGGCCTTTTAGCTCCCACCCCCGCTGGCCCCCAGATCACGTCGGCGCCATAAATAATTGTCAAAATCGTAATCAGGGCCGTTGATTACCCCTGTTCAAAGGACGTTTCAGCGAAAAAAATTTTTTCGAGTTTTTAGTGGTCATGGACCTGACCATTTGGATGGCAGTGACAGGCGAACCCTCCGTAGTATCTTCTGGTGAGACAAACGCCTCAGAAATTTTTCATCTTGCCCCTCAACTTCAGTAGGTCTTCATAGAACATCGTGCTAGCTTCGGAGCCACTAAACGAGCATCCTGGATCTTTCTTCACTTTTACCGTCTATGCTTTCGACAAAGAACTCGTTACCACTTGCCTGGAGAAAGGTTTTTGTTTCTCATATCAAAGGTATGAGAGGAGTGCAGTGTATGTGCGTCACTTTTTTTGTGTAGTTTTTAATTCTGCGTCTGCATACTAGCAAATGAAAAGCTTCCTCTTAACGATGTTGGATAACGACTCCTTGGGGGGGGGGGGGGGGCTGATAGCCACTAGCTGGAGACATGGCCGGCAACATAACACAAAAAAGCTCGGAAATTTTTCTTGGCGTAAACTTACCACGCTAGGTTAACCTAATGGTCCTTGATTCACGGTTCAGATACTTATTTTTGCGCGGAGGCCATCTGGGCCAGTACGGCGCTAAATAGCCCCGCCGCGCAGACTGACAATGATGGTAGTACGAGAAAGCCTTTGCACCAAATTAGCGGCACATTGCGCCATATTCAAAAATGAGTGTCGTGTTCATGAACAGAGCATCGGATAACCGCCGTAACCCAAGTTTCATGAAGAGTTTTTCGATAGTATTTCGCGAGCGTAATAATTGAGTGAGGCCTATTTGTGAAACCGTTCCCGCATGGAATGTGCCTTCAAATGGCGTATATCCGGGTCATACACATTATGGGCATACAGGAATACAAAAAGCAAGAAATGTGAAAAATGCAAAAACTTACGTCGGCAAGGGGATCCGATCCATAAACCCGCCGACCGAGAGCCCGTCGCACTATCCACCACACCATCTGCCACTGTCGCATGGGAGATGCATGCGGCCTGTTGAAGAGAGATGCGCAGATGGTCGGAAAATCAATGTAGCTCACCACATGCCGAGTAAAACATTTGGATTTTGACCTTCTTTTGCGCTGTATTTCATGCCTGCTCAAAGGATACCCTACATACTATACCCTATCAACGCTACAGCTAGAACAGAGGCGAATAAGGTGGTTTAAAAAGCCCATTCTTTTCGAATTGTTTTTGACCTTTTTTGACATTCCCAGAACCGTTTAGCAAAAATGAACCCCATCGCTATGGTCCTCGCATGGACCCCTACAACATGCAACAAACCGTTTTGAAAAAGCTCACCACGGCCTGAACGACCTCCCTTTAAGGAATGATATGATAGGTTTGAAAAAGTGTTACAGAACTTTCCCGCCAACTAATAATTAATATCGCCATCCACAATATGCAATCGCGGGTTTATCTTTGAGATCAACGTATGCGACAAATTGATCAGTAGAATCTCTGGTGTTTGCAGGTCCGCATCGGTAGGGGGTCTATTTTGTCACTCGAGGACAGGGGCAGTGAAAGCACGCGACCTTTCCGGCCATGGATATCCCGGTAAAGCCCTTATGAGGACGACTACATGGTGTGGTAATGTTGCCTGCGAAGCGGTTTCACGTGCTTTCAAAGTATACATGGCATTACTTTTGCGCATGATTTTTTGTTGAAAGCGATCGAGCTCACAAGGCATTTTACTTTCTTTGGAATCTTGCTTGAAGAAAAGCACAAGCAATCAGAAGAAATCCATTTAGCGGATAGGATGTTTTTGAACTAGTCTTATACGTCTGTGATGCAATAGCATTGATGCAATAGTTCGTCGGATTATGGTAATCCCAACTTTGCAGTTTTCAAAGCTGGTTAATATCACGAGCTTCACTCTAGGAGTGCTGAACGCTACGCGCAGTATTCCTTCGAAGTGTTTCTTACTGGACGGCACAGCTGTGGCAGGTCCGAGGTAGCAAAACCAGTGGGATGCTCACAGACGGCGATCGCATTCAACTACTGGCATAAAGTCAGCGAATTTGTAAAACTTGTACAAGGCCGAATAAACACGCGTTGCTCAGCTTATTACATACCGTTCCTCTCATTTTTTTTGCTATAAAATCAATTTGCACCCGCAGTTTCAATTTTATCACATCAGCAGGCAACTGCGATGCCGCTTCCCCCCTTTTCACCGTCTCTGGATGTCTGTCAACAGCATAGCCTCTTTCCTTCACCCTGCTTGCTTCCTCCTTCCTTCTTTTCCTTGTTTCGTTCTCTCTTCCCTCCTCCTTGTTCTCCTCCCTTCGAGTTTTGGCAGAGAGATGCAACGAGGAAATGCCTCTAGAACCCATCAGTTGATAACCGCCCTGTACACCGCTTTCACTGGCATAGGAGGATAGAACAAGAAATATGCGCTAGTGGCGTAGTTTTCTGGCTCCTAGTGTGGCGCGGTATTTTAAAGCATAAGCTCGTCGGATTACGGTAATTCTGATCTTGCACAAGGAATTTCGCGGAACTTTTCGAATACTACGAGCTTTACTTCCCTACCATCCTTTCTATCTTATTCACGTTGAACACCACATATTGCTGTATGTAGTATCGATTACGAGCCAAAAGGGATGGAATTTGCATAAGCCTACGGATGAACATGGTAAAGGGAACCCTTTCTCCAGCTCCGGACTTCGGCAAGGAGTCTCTCTTGACCATTTATCATGAAAGTAATAGTCTGGTACCTTGAATGCCTTGCACGAAATGCCTCTCAAGATGCTCTAGCGTCAAAAACGTAGATGGCATAAGGTGTGAAACCGGCAAGAGAATCGCAAATTGCCGCTTCGTCGCGCGCGGCAATGGGCGCGACGTTTCCTTAATTTGCACTACCCTTTCGATTGGAGCATCGGATTTCATGTAGACAAGGACATGGTAGACACTTGTGTCTATTTTGGCCGTACATTGTCTATTCCGGACCAGTACCGAGCGGACCATTTATTTTAGGCGTGGAGTACTGTAGCCTGGCCACGGGGCAGGTTGCCGGGGACGGGCGGGTCGCTGCCCGGGTGGCCGCCGCACCCCGGAGCTTCCTCCCCCGTGCGCGCGCAAGGCGCGCGCTTGGGTTGACGTCAAAGATGAAGCCCGATTACGGTGCGCCCGATTGTGTGCGTTCACGACGCGACATTTTTAACTTCACGCGCAATTTTCGGGGGTACTGTACACCGCCTGACAACCTGAACTTATAATCTTGTGCACGCGACGTCCTTTAGTGCGGCGAATCACGATTCTCTTGCCACATACCCCCATGACGTGGAGAAGTCATGATAAGTGCTGTGGGTTCGGATGGGAGCTGGATAGGCCAAAAGGATTAGCCTTTTCGAAACAGTAAACGAAGGGAAGCTGGGAAGCTGTAAATCAGGCAATAAAAAAAACAGAAGCTCGACTAATCATTTCAGTCACTAACTTATCTGCAAAGCCGACCGATCCGAGCGTATCTTGAGATCCGATATTTGCGTGATGATAGCGTCGAGATCATTTAGCTCCTAAATAACGGCAATTTTTCAAAGCTGATTGCTCTATGCTTTATAGTCATCTCTTTTACAATTTATTAGTCATCCATTAATATCAACAATCATGTGCTCATCGTCAGCACACCCTCATCCAATCACCTACCTCAATCGGTTCGTTGACTTTTTGCTTTGCCTTCTCTTTACGGGAATTTGGAGTAGTTGTTGAATGCGCACTACCATTTAACGTACTTTGAATACTAGCGAATATACGTTGATCTCTTGAACTCGGTGTTCGGTCCGATACTGACTTTCTTCCCGGTCGAGACATCTCACAAAAACGTCATAATTGTGGCAAAACTACAGCGCTGAACAAATCAAACTTAGCACACGAAGTAAGATTGCGTTCATACTTTGCGGCAGCGTTTTGCGACTAAGAAAATATTGATATCGACCACGCGCTTTGAACGCCCGCTACCGCATTCCATTTGAAACGCTCAAAGGCTGTATCGATACCTATGCTTTGCCCGTCGCTCAGAACTCTGATGAACGCTCAAAACGCTAGATCGATGCCTATGCTTTCCTAGCCTTTCGAAACGCTGGTGGACACTTGAAACGCTCGAACACTAACGCAAAGAGTAATGAACGCCTTTTTCGAAAACGAAGATCGTTGCCACCAAAAAAAAACGAAAAAGTCTAAAGATAACGACATCCAGCCTGACGAACTGAATAACCCGTTATAAGTAGGTAATTATTCGAGAAAACTACAGTACTTAATTTTCCGCCCTTGGAAGGACGCTGTGACCGTCGCGATTTTGCACATTGAAGAGCATTTTGAACTGGCCTAATTTCAAGTGCGCTTTCCTCTAGATTTGAGGAGAAGGTAGACATTTGTGAGATGTACGATAATAATTATATGGATCAAAACAGTCCCTCTGCCTTTTAGGTTTACCAGAAGGGAAAACATTTCATCCAAGTTTTCTTCGAAATCATTCTAACAAACATTTTCAGTTTTTTCCAAATCCAGAAGAAAGCACACTCAAAATTAGGCTAGTTTGAAGTGCCCTGCAATGTGCTAATTGCTGTTTTGATGCTATTTCCATTTTTGGGAGGGGGAGGATCGTATTTACGTTTTGGCGTCGTAGGAGTACCTTTGACTTTTGGTGATTTTCCTGTTTCATGCGTACTATATGCACCCCTCCTCCCTCTCTCCTCCTTCCCAACACTCGACGGCTCGATGAGGAGGAACAGAGGGCAGAGGGCCGGAGCGGGGGGGTCGTACAAACCCCAAAAAGGGGGGGGGGTCGTACAGGACTAAAAACCCCCAACCAATGATGTGCCCTGACTGAGAGGGACAAAAAACATGTCGCGAGACAAGAAATCAATTTTTTTGAAGGGGGAGGACACCGGGGTGGATGGGTCACTTATTATGTGTGAAAAGTTAGAATGTAAAGGTCAGGGAATTCACAAAACGTTCGCGCAGACGTGAGAGCACAACAGAAAATTGGCGCCATTGAATGAATCCAGTCTTAGTTGTCCGTGAACCCAGCCAGGCGTACGGTCGCACATCCTGTAACGAAACTAAGTACAGTAGCTTTTTGAAAAACTGCCCTACACATGAAAGCTTATACGAAATAAGGATATTTCTTGTTAGAAACGTTAAAAAGGAAACGATGACATGTGCACTGAATCAGCTGAAGACAATAATTTCTACTTGAGTTCTACTTGATATCTGCTGATTTTGGTTTGGTTTAAGGGGATATATTGGACGTTTATGATTCTTTCCTTTTTTTCTTATTTTAGTCGCTCTAAATCCACATGAAATTCCAAACAAAAGCAGCTAAACGCAACGTTTCAATTTTGGACGATTTTTTGTTCCCGATGACACAGCATCAATCCCCTCTAGACCAAAGTTCAAATGAAAATGAAAATCACGTGCAGATGAAGCTGGATATGGCTGGCAGCCATCGAGTCACTAGCTACAGTAGCTTGGTCCGCGTGCGGCCTCCACGGCACTTGGAATGCTCCGCGCGCGTTCGGCGCCGGCGCATCGACCCATGTTTTTTGGTGTCATGTATACAACTGTGTGGCATGTTATTGATTTCAGTGATTACTCGGTGATGTTTCGTGTTTGTTTCCTTTTCACCTTTCACATTTGTAAGTTTTTGATTTTTTGAACATTTTTTTATTTGCAAAAGTAGAGTATGAAGAGGAGGTCGTAGCTTTTTTTGTCGTGCAAGGAGATTGCCTGCCGGGAAAGGGCGGGGCGTGTCCGATTTTCGTTCGTTGTTGCGGCGCGTCACGTGAGCGGTTCCCTTTCTCAACGACGTCTTTATTCTGTTTCCTAGATGACAAACTAGTCGATAAAATGACAACCAGCATGGCTGACCCGTTAGATTTCGGTGAACAGCAACGATTTGATCAACTTCATCATCAGCAACTTGAACAGAAACTATTCAATACGGGCCCCAGAGCTTCAAGGACACTACCGACAGCAACTGTGAGTTTACCACTTTTTTCGTCGTTTTATGTGAAAAGCTAATCCTTGTCGGAATTGCCATGACACTATTATGCCTAAAGTACGTTTGACTGGTTTGAGAAGTACGTGCACCGTACGGGAGCGTCTGGCAATTTTTTCCTCATGGTTCCTCAGTCAGCGCGGCAATAGTCTCGAATACGTTTGTTTTCTAGCGTGCATCGTGAATAAGTTGCTTCTTCTTGATTGTGACCATCATAGAACTTGTTTTTTCGGCTGCATTATAGTGCATTCATAAAAAGTTAATCTTCAGTTTAGTTTACGCCAGTGAGCCCTATCTCTTACCATACCCTTACAGCTTCTAATAATACTACCATAAGTGGTTACTGAATGTTATAAGTGACCGTCTCAGGTAGTTGTTAATTTCCAGTTCGGTTTATGCTAGTGAGCCTTATCTCTCACCATACCCTTACCATGTGCTACCATAAGTAGGTTACTGAATGTTATAAGTAACAGTCTCGGGGTAGGTGTTAACCGCGGAGCCAATATGTCTCTCCCCTCTTCGTTTCCCTTCTCTTTTCATCTACTCGGAAGTACAACAGCAAAGATTGTGAGAAAGTTCTTCGGAACCTTCGCAGCAATGGCATGTCCGATTCAAAAGACACCTAACCCGTAAGTAAGACAAAAAGACCGTAGTATTTGTTGCACAACAACTCAAAAGTCCCTCGTTTGTTTGCAGTATTTCCTAATGCTCAACGCCTCCCTCAGCGTTTTGAACTACGTCTATCAGTACCGATCTCTGCATATTTGTCAACCGCGGAGTCTCCCTTCTCGTTTCTTTTTCTTCCTCCCTTATTTGCCTTCCTTCCTTCTATTCCCTACTCTTTCATCTTATCTGAAGGCACCTAGATCAGCCGCCTTACCGGGTTCTACTGCGGCTTGTAACAACACTCAGGGGTGCCCGCCGTCAAGGGAAGTACAGGTGTCCTCATAATGAAAAATACTTTTATTTTATATGGAATTGGAATGGAACATGTGTTCCTTAGAGAGTTGGATTCGTGTACATTTTTTCACCTTTGCTGAGGTCAACGAAATGGTTTTTATGGATTCCTTTCATCAAACTCTTCAAAAAATCGTATGTTGTTAGTAGGTGCTTTGTGACGGTCAATGATTTCAGTCGCAAAATCTGCCCAGCGGTGACGGATCAGCGTCGCTACCACTTGTATGTCCTTCTGATGTTGCTCTACAACCGTTCAATGAAGATAGCGTCGATGGTCAAATGCGTGTATTCACGGCACCTCTGGTAAACGAGTGTAGCAATCTTAGCAGTGCTGGATCGATTTCGGATCGAGAACCTGACGGAACACCTGGAAGGTTTGTTTTGTTTGCAACTTGAATTTTCAATCCCTTTACACTCCACTTTCCAACATTCTCAGCTTTTTCAAATATCACTGCTTTTGTTCGATGAAGCGCGAAGTTAAAATAACGCGCTCATGCTCGAGTAATGGCGGCCCGCAATGGGTTAAGGATTATAAAGAACATGGGAGTTGGGGAAAATCAGTAAGCAATCCTCTTCATCTTGACGAAGGCATTAGAAGCAGCATCTATGGGAGAGCGTTTTTGCGTTCGAACAATCAATTCACTCCTCTACACATTTCTTCTTTTGCTATTACGGTGTAGTATCATTCCTTTTCTTTTCTGGAACCTTGTTCTCGGCTATGGCATCCTTTTTTGCTATAGTTTTTGAACACAGTCTCATCGTGAGGATGTGCTCACCGGGCGGTATTAATGCTCAACCAGTTCCGCAGTTGATTTCCTTTTTACTTTGAAAATTAATCACCTTCCGTCAATGATCATTCGCTCGCCCTTTTGAATCGAAAAGTGTTACAAATGCGAATGGCGGAAACATTTTGGACTTTTTCAATTGGAGAAGTTTTTGCTTCAGTGATATATATTTTACGAATTTTGTGCTTATTTTTCCCCTGGAAACGTCGCCAAAATCTCGTAGGAAAGTGCAAAAGGCTCACAGCATTGATTGTACTCCCTCTCTTTATCATCTTCTTGGTATTCAGATGTAATCGTCCTGGCATTGAGAAGAAATCCATACGGAAACGGCGAAGAGGTGACGAAACACCCAAATCTGAGAGGAAGATCACGGACTTTATAAGGGTTCGTTTAATGTATAAATTACCGTGAATTTTGGTGACCGTTATCTTTTAAGGGTCAGACGAGTCCGAAGCGATTTGCTGTTAATTCTAATGGGGACAATTATGTCAATGACGTAGCGCCGTTAGGAGGAAGTGCAGCAACGGTTCGTTTTTTTTCATTCACTGTGCTTCTTATCGCTTATGTGTAGGACACTGTAGCTGAAATATTGGTTTAAGCAGCGTTGGATGACAACGTCACCCACCCTCTCAAGCCGAATCACTCCGACTAATCCGCATTATTCGTCGGACTCGAACAGTAATTCGAACCAAAGCCCTCCTACCCCTGCTGCGTCAGCACGGTTGAGATCTGACTGTGAAACTCAAACAGATTTCGACGTATGTTTAATCTTTAAGTTCGTAACTGGAATATCATGCGAAATTTTTTTTTCAAGGAATTGAATCCTGCTCCACATGAAGAGATCACCAAACGAGATCGTTTGATACAAGAACTTAAAAGCCAACTCATCGAGGAACAAAACCGGGTATTTCTATAGGTTTTTATCTTCAAGTTTATCGTTCAATTTTCCGATTACTTTTCGACTCGAAGTACCCTTACCATCTATTCAGACTGCGATCGAACGGCGAAAAAATGAATCTGCAAAAGAGGCCCTCAAGCGATTGTTAATAGAAAAGAACACAATGGAAAGGAAAGCAATCCGCGACAAGGTCTTTTTCTATTAAAGTGCTTGTTGTCCATGCTGATGTGTTCCGTAAACTGAAATCAAATCGGTAAATTTTCTATGAGGTGACAATTTTGACGATTTTGTTCTAGACAACGGAAAATACGCCTCGAATAGGTCAGTATAAGCTCGTTCGTCATGGAGATTCCTTCCGAGAAGTTTGGGTAAATCTTTTCGAGTTTTCACCTTGATGCAATTGAACATGTCTCTTCAATGATTGAATGCAGTTCCATCTTTTACTGCAATGCCTTGTAGGTTGATGGTTGGGCACAGGAGGAGCTGGATAAGAAGATGCAGCAGATAGCAAATGAGAGGAATGAAATAGCGAATGCCTCGGCGTTATTGAAGAAGCGGAAACCAGTTGGTATAGCAAAAGAAGGAACCACTCCAAAAAGGTTGGTAGACAGTCGACGCAGTTCGGCGACGGGAGGACGGGAGGAGGGCATTTTTTGAATCATTTACTTTATTTACTTTTACTTTATTTTATTAGTATCGGCAATAAGATAAACAGTGAAAAACAAGATGTGCTAAGGAGAGGAACACAGATTCCGATAACTGCATCAAGAGCAACTCAATCAATTTTGCCCTTTCGCTGCTTCACTTGTTTCGGTTTACAAGTCTCACTCTGGTGAAACCTGTCAATTCATGTGAGCTCTCACGAAATGGCTCTCTAGATGGATCGACAGGTCGATGGGATGTAGCAAAATGTTCACCCTTTCTTCCCCCCCCCCTCTCCCGTAGCCGAACTGCCCTGAGACAGCCTTATATGTGCACTTATGCCACTGGCGTTAGCATAGATCACTGCAACTATTCTTTGCACTCTTTCTACATATGTCGTTCAAGGTCGGCTGCGAATTCGTTATCGGCACAGCTGGCAGCGATTCAGACAGATGGATCAATACCGTCAACGTCATCGGGTGACGACGCCGTGTTTCGTCGACCTGAGGAACCCAAAGAAATTAATTATCAGGAATACATTGAATTAGTGAGCTTTTACTTACATCACTAGTTCCTTTCAGTGGGCTATTGACTGCAAATACAATACTTGTAATCTTGTTGTATTTCAGGATGAAATTTATAAGCTTCGTCGTGAGCATATGAAAAAGGAAGAATTAGAAGTGATGGCCGAAAAAGAGAAATTGGATCGAGAGAGACAGCTTCATTTGAGGGAGCTCAAAAGAGCAAGCAATGAAAGAGATTCACGCTATAAGGATCACGAAATGCTCAACAAGCGTTACTTATTGCTCTCTCTACTTGGTAAAGGAGGGTTCAGGTCAGTGAGCTGATTACTATAAGTTTTTTTTTCTTATTTGCTTTGTTTGGTCGGTAATATTGGCTAACATTTTTTGGTCATGAAATACCCTTAATCTGAAGAGGTGTAATCGATATTGTGAGCAATGATACGGGTAGTTATCACAGGGATGGTGAGTTGTAAGCAAAAGCGGACCACGGGCGGGATTCGAACCCGCAAATACTACTTGCCGAGCTGTTGCGTTAACTTTCTGCGGCGATAAACAACAGTTATTAGACGATACGGGTAGTATTCATTCGATTAACCACACTCATCTGTTTCCTATTTCGTCTTTTTTCGCGACTGGGCAAAAACTTTGTCCTGAACCGTCAGTACCTGGTCACACCAGCTCTTTACTTCCATCATTCTGACTTGAGCATGAAATCTGCGTGACCAGTGAAAAGGAGCAGCACAAGGACGATGCCCCAAACTGCCATGCAACCTTCACGAGGTCAATCCTTGAAAGTGGAAACCTACAGTCTTGAAGACAGTGTGACGTTTGGATGTTCATCAAAAGCCAGCTCAAGGGAGGTGCGGCTTGTGAACTACTGTATGAAGTAAGTGCTTTCACGGCCAATCTCTAGGCGAAATAGCTCCGATGTTTGAAGCGAATTGTCGATTGGAGGGGAAAATTTGTCCACTCAGTCTGCTTTCGACGTGATAGGGCAAGACCGCACTTTGCGGAAATGGTCACACCGGAGCCCATGCAATACTTATGGAGGCGGCTGGTTGTTGTTTTCCGAATAAATCCGGTATGCGGTCTTACGATTGGAGCCCACGTCAAAATCGAAGTAACATATTACTTTGTATTGCGCTGGCCTATATTCTTCAGGGATGGCAATCGTAAGGTAGCAAAACTCCGGCAAGAATTTCCCATAAGGACGTACTCATGCATGAATAGTTCAAAGAAATGACGAGTTTGCGTATGGCAGAAAGTATATGTATCGATTAAAAAAAGCTCGAGATTTTGAGAAAAGCAGAAGTGCGGAATTGGCAGAAATGCCGAAATGATGGATAATGACGTGATAGGGGTTAATCGCTCAGCCTCGCCACTGGGAGAAATGCTGGTTCTGCAGAATTTCGGCATTTCTGCTCCGCATCTCTGCATTTCTATTACTTTCACGGTTTCTCTAATCAATACATATTTTTGATCAACCTGCAGTTTTACCAGATCTTCAAACTCGTCCTCTATGAATCCAGCCCAAAAAGGGTGGATATATTTGATCTCATTCGATTCTTTACCATAGAAAGTTCATTTTGAAGTACCTGCTAGAAATTTCCCTCCATCTTATTATTTTTCCTTCAATGCATTCCCCCTTATCTCTCTCTGCCATTCTTTTGAAGTTGTCTTTGTATGGTATTTCTGCGGGAAATCTTGCTATTAGTAATATTTACCTCCCCATTGTAGCTGATTATCAGCGGCATTTGTGCAGAACTTCTTTTAGATATTCACCTTTAATAGCATTAATTGCGCTTTATTGAAAGTACATGAAGTAGTCTTCTAAAGCACAAGCGCATATTCGTATAGCAGTGCAAAAGCTCTGTGCAAAATCTTGTGTTGGCGGCCTATGCGAAGAAAAGCTGCAATCTGGGCTTTGTAAGACGGCCTCATTGCTTGATTGTTTTCGTTTGTTTTTTCGTTATTGCGGGGGCATCGTCGCTGCTGCCTCGTAGGTGCAGTCTTGCTGATGTGTTCGTAGGATATTGATTGCAAAGAGGTGCTCTCCGTCCGACTGGTGAAAGGGGCGGTCGTTAGGGCGAGGATAGAGAGGCACAAGATTTTGCCTTTCCAGTGCGTGAATGATGTACTATGTTGAGGGTTTATGACGCACAGCGATATTACGTCATTAAAATTTCAGAGGAGGGGAGGTAAAAGGTATGAGAACTGGGAGAGATTCCACCTGAAAGAGATGAGCTGTTTTCGCATAATGTGGCATTTTTTGTCGAGCAATGTTGCTTAGTTAGGAAGTATAATGGATAAAAAAAATTAAGTTTCCGTACTTGATCAATTCCTTTTTGGGATGCGGCAGCCACTCTGCTTCCATTCAGGATCATAGTGGCTTAGTGAGTATGAGGTGACCTAGACAATGACTCGGGGGGCATCTGATGTACAAGTCAGTGTGCTTATCCTCCCAGACGAATCGGGCACCAGTTTACCGTCCTCGGGGGTGGGGGGGGGGAGTAGAACGCTGTTTGGCTTAGGCGGGATCCGATCTAGGCTATGCTCCGCGAACCTTGCGCATGGTAAGCGCGCCACCTGTCACTACACCACCTCCGCCTCAGTTAAGGTATATACAAAGAAAAATAGTTGACTTCTTAACTCAAGGCTCATATTTATTCTTTGATGTTGATGATGCGAAATTGCCTTGGCTTGAGATGAATAGCATAACATTCACCTGTCTCTTATATAATAATCCCTTGTTGTATGCTGTTATTACGTGAAATGCTTGGCTACTATTGATATTTCTTCAGACTCGGAATCCTGGGAGTAACTAGTGAGTCAGGTATGTGTTCAATGGAACCCTAGCCTTTACTTTCACTTCATAGGGCTGGCCTTTTTCCGAACAGACGCACTTCATAAGTGACATAAGTTTTACAGCCTGGTGATATCCACTCCAGTGCTGAAACTTAACCTTTATTTGTCGGAATCCTAAGAGGGTGTTCAAATGAATGTTCATCCGATCCGAGCTAATCCATGAGCTGAGATACAGTAGAATGAGTTGAGAACTACTATGGTTGCTCTTTTGAAAATTTCAATGTTGATCGTCCCGCCCTTCTGTAAGTGGGTATTGAATAGCTTGTCACTGAAGATATGTTTATTTGTTCCATGATCTGAACGTAGCAGATAATTTGAGCATCCAGAGCTCTTGTTTGAATAAAGTAAATCTGCTTGGTAGCGTTTCAGCCAGGTTTTAGCATTGACCTATTAATGTCAATGTGCGTAGTCCTCAGACGCATTTTTAGGGGTGTTGAAGTAGTTTGCCTTAAGATATACCGTAGCAACTGGGAAGCATAAAAATAAAGGGATTGAGTTTAATGCGTCAAATGTTAGCTGAGCGGTACTCTTTTCTGTGACAAAGAACTGCAATCTAAAGACACTCAAAGAACTCGTGTGGTTTTCAGTTGGATGACAAAATGTAGCCGTGTTAAACTATGCTCTTTACTGTGAATAAAAACCTTTTCTAAACTTTACGTGTGTAATTGCTATCGCGCTAAGCCGTACCTGAAAAGTAATGGAACATCACGCACCAAGGGTTCCAAGATAATTTGGATTAGAACGCTTTCTTGCTACTTTTCATTCTTTTTCACACAAATTCGCAACCATTTGTTCACAGACGTTCGCACAGTTAACTTATCCTCGGGTTCAGTTAGTTCTTAATACTTGTAGTTCAACTGGAATGAACTGCGGATCCTCCTTCTGAAGCTCTTATTTGGCTATTTGCTTGATGACACAATTAGAGCATTTCACGGTTCAATTCCTGCTCATTTTCAGCGAGGTTTGGCGAGCATTCGATCTTGAGGAGAATCGTTTCGTGGCTTGCAAGATCCACCACGTTAATAAGGAGTGGAAGGAAGAGAAGAAGGTGAATTGCATTAACAAGTTTAGTTTGAAGGGGTTCAGTTGTATGACTACCTCGCTAGAAGTTTCAGTTTTTATGAATTGTTTTGTAGCGTACAAGAAAATTCATTTTTTCCCATTTCCATCTCCCGTAACGCTGCTGCTTTAGGCTAACTACGTGAAACATGCCATGAGAGAGAAAGATATCCACAAGACGCTTGACCACTGTCGAATTGTGAAACTATTCGATCTTTTCACTATTGACAATCATTCATTTTGCACCGTTCTGGAGTACTGTACGGGAAATGACCTCGACTTCTATCTCAAACAGAACAAATGTATTTCGGAGAAGGAAGCACGAAGTATCATTATGCAGGTATGCCCTTAATGAAGAATTACGGAATCGATTCGTTGCGAAGATGCTTTTGAAGTAGTTCTGTTATAATGACTGCTATTTATAACCGCAGTTGGCGCTCCGAAAGTTATCACATGATACCTGATTTTTCCGCAAAAAATCACACCTAAGACGGGACTCGAATCCGCACCTCACGCTTTCCAGGCGAGTGCGCTATCCGCTACGAAATGTCGAATGTGCGAATGCTATAGGCTACGGCGTGAAAGCCGTAAAGTTGGGAGGGTAAGAACGGCCCTGGTGGCGTCAGTCACCCGGAAAGCGTGGAATGCGGTTCGAGTACCGCCTGAGGTCGGGCTATAGCCCATAATCCAGTATTCTTGTAATTTTTTGTATAAAAAATATCGTAAAAAAATTAGTGCGATACTGCAAAGCAATTTTCATAGTTTGAAACCTCCTCTTGACGTTCCTTTTCAAACTGTTTTGCGCGCAGTTCTTTTGCGAGGGAGTTTTCTGGACTCTTGTGCTACCTACCCACTACGCTGGGAGAAATCCTCTTCCCTGGTTTCTTTATCGCATCCTCTGGAACTGCAGCTTCTACCATTTCGTTGCTTTGCAGGAGTTTGCAGGGTTCTATCAGCACATCTTCATCTGTTCTTGTCTCTAATATTGACGCCTGACCTTATTGACTCAGTTACAGGGTAATTCGCACATTGGTTTGACTCCAGCGCCCACTTCTCTTCTCATGAGTAGCGTAACTGTGCAGTTGCCTCGTTTGTTCTGAAAATCTGCACAACTGACTGACTTAGGCAGTTCAGGCCATTATAAAAGTTCCGTACCGAGCGCAAGCTGGCTGTTAAGAGTAGTGATGTTTTTTAGTCACAACAGATAGCCGAAAGCGCCCTGTTTTCAGCCGTAGCAGAGGGCCTAATAAACAGTAGGAGTGTCCTTTGGAAATTCTACCTCTCTTTTATTCCAAAAACCGAGTTCCTTGTTGAACTCTTCCTGCTCCAGTCTTCCGAAATCAGTACTGTTCCTTAACTACTTTTTTTCTGCGTAAGCAGATTTGGCTGATAGTTTGCTTCCTGGGGTGCCAAGAACTGCCGGGCGCTCGCGCCACAGGCGAGAACCCCAGATCAATAAATTCGTTGAAATCCTGCACACTGAGGGTGTTTGACCTCCTAAGCACGAATTTCACATCTGTAAAGGGTGCCAGTGCAGTTGGGGATGGATCAAAGGGTACACGTGACGGCGCAGCTTGGTGCGCTTGTCTGCGCGTTATCTTCGAGATGGTGACCCATTCATCTGCTAAAAAAAATGAGTGCCGATATATAATTTTTTATTCCAGTACAATATACTGTTGTTGAGAAAAAAAAACGGTTCAAAAACTGAGCTCAGAGACGGATTTCACTTCCTTGATTTGCTTTTTCCTTCAATGATAGTTTTGTAGGTTGTTTCGGCTCTCGTATACCTCAACGAGAAGAAACCTCCGATCATCCACTACGATCTTAAGCCGGCCAACATCTTGTTGGAATCTGGAACTACGTGCGGTGCTATTAAAATAACCGACTTTGGCTTGTCAAAGATCATGGAGGGTTCGTCCGATGATGACAGCATCGAGTTGACGTCTCAGTTCGCTGGCACGTATTGGTAAGAACTATGATAATGTTCTTCTTCATGAGGTGATTCGATTTCACGGTGAATTTCAGGTACTTACCCCCAGAAACATTTGTGGTCAGTCATGCACCGCCTAAAATTAGTTCAAAGGTCGATGTGTGGAGCGTTGGTGTGATTTTCTACCAGTGTATTTATGGAAAGAAAGTAAGCCCGTTTCATGATACGTTTGCTTGGACCAAGTTTTTGCCCTATCAATCCTGATCAATGTTTAGCCGTTTGGAAACGATCAAACTCAGCAGAAAATACTTGAAGAAAACACTATACTAAAAGCAAACGAGGTACATTTCCCCGCAAAGCCGCAAGTGAGTATTTTTCAAATTTTAGTGTACTTGCAGTCAGAATTTGTCCTAGATTTTTCCAAGCCATGAACTTGTCCGTTGACTTCACAAATAATGCGGTATTAATGGTGAAAAGCTGTCTATGCTTGTGATTTCAGAAAGAATTGTTTATTCACCCACATTAGATTCTCTTATCCCACTATTCATAATTATTCTTTATCTTTCGCAGAAAATGAACCGTAAGTCTTGGAAATGAGTATTCACTTCTGGTTGTGAGAATTTAGTTTCTCCTACTATTCTAAAAAAACCGACCGGAGAAAATCAACGGGTCTCTCCGACCATTTGCAGTCTGTTATACACCAATATAGGCGTCCTCAATCGCTGAGCTCAAATCTTCCTTCAGAGATTCACATCCGTGCCTGCCCATATCTGTAGGAAAACCTGCAACTAGTTTCTCGAAAGTGTAGACTCCTGTTTTCAAGAAGAGTGCTTATGCTTGTCTCCCTCGTGCCATCGATGCTTGTTGTCAGAGTGGGGTTTCCTCCTGACCATTAAGAAAATGGAACAATAATGCGAGAACGTGAGCCAAATCTTGTTTGCAACAAGGCTTGATCGTTGTTTTTCGGAGTTGAGTTGGAATCTCAGATTTCGCCAGAATGCCCCAGTCGTTTCGATCCGCTAAATGGGAACATCATACCCGTTTTCCTGAAAAGTAGTTGTGTCATGCGCTACAGGCGCTTGCGCTTCGGCTATAGCGAGTTGAAGAGAAAACAGTAGGGAATCCTCCGGAACTCCAGTCGGAGAAACGTTTTGCGAAGTCAAAGATGGTTTCGAGCTCAACGTCTACAAAAAAGAGTATCTCACTGTATAGCGAGACTGACCTTTTGACATTCCCTGGAGAGCTGCGACATAGCGGAGCATTGGAGTCTGCTCCTCTGCTCCCTTTTTCTTTAGGCGCACCCAAAAACTCTCCCACAGTGCCGACCTTTCTCATCGCTGCGTAACATGTGACCCCATCTCGCGTAGTTTTTTGGATGGAGTTTATAGTTTCTCTTCATTTGTTTATAATCGTTTTCAAACGAGTTCTCTACGCATATCACAATCCTTGGATGTTCATAGTAAGGAAACGTTACGCCATTTCGAACTAATCATTAGGCGGTTGACTACTTTCTCGATCATATTTTGGTGGGTAGTTCGATGTTTACTTCAGGCAGCATTCAGACTTCACGGCGACGCACTACAATAACCAAGCCAACTCAGCCTCAGACGGGAAATCGATCGACGCCCGCTCAGCGGCTGGTGCCGATCGATACCGGATTGTGTGTTTGGATAACACATGCCCTCCAGTTCCCCTACACTCTCAATACACAAGTGGCGTCGATCGATTTCCGTCTGCGGCTGCGTTCGCGTCTATAAGATTGTAGCGCTGTTGCAATTGTAGCGCGTTACAGCGCGTTGACGCGAAGTCTGAATGCTACCTCAAGCATAGGGCTGCTCTCTATCTATCTATCTGTCTTTCCTTCTTACTTACTTTCTTTCTTTCCTCTTTCTTTCTCTCTATCCATTACACACCGCTTATTCTTGATACTTCACTTTCGCTTGAAAAACTGGACTTGAAAGCCCAATAGCTTTTTATCTAACTTACTCAACCGAGCGTTTCGTTTCCTCTTGCTAGTTTCGTGCCTTTCCGCCGCTGTTCCTCCAGTGGAAAAACTTCAGTGATTGAAAGAACAATGAATGATCATATTTCGAGAACTCTGCAGAAGAAAAGGTTTTCAATAATATCTGAAATTTTGTGTTTTCGACTTACCAAGTTGGGTTGTAACAATATGTAGTAAAAATATCCCCAGCTTCTTCGCCAATATTTGAGTTTAGAATTATTGGAGTACCAAGGAAATGTTAATTAATCCAATATGTAGACTTTTTACTTTTGGCCTTTTGCGCTGATTTCATGGCTGATTCAAGTGGTCTAGTCAGTTACCTTCAGGATGGATTGTTAGAAAAGTTCGCTGTGGTAGTTCAGTGCTATTTATATAAACACAATCTAT